CAGCTCGTTAGCCTGGTTGTGGTTTAGGACGTACTTTGTGAGCTGTGTGACCTCAGCTTTATAATTTTTAGTTCACACATACCCCATGTATACTTGCCGTCAGACATACATATATATATATATATAATATATATATGTGTGTATATATGTATATATAAATTTCTCTTTACAGTTAAGCCAACTTTTTCAACACTTTCTGCTTGAGTGCAACAATAAAAACATATATGTATGTATGTCGTTATGATGTGATATACATACATACGAGTATGTGTATATTTATGTATGTACATATGTGTGCTTTTATGAGCTTTTACTTTGTTCATATATATATTTATGTATGTCAATGCTTGAATTATACAATGCGTATGTAGGTATGTATGTACATACATACACATACAATGTAAATTAACTTGTTTTATTTAAAATTGTTAATTAGAGGAATATTCATTTTAATCCACACACATGCACACGCACACACACTCAGTCAGGCATATGTTTTTGTACAACTACAAAGATAAATACCTTTTCCCTCATTTTTTCCCCTCCTTTTTTTGGTCGGTCGCATGCAACCATATGCCAGAATGCAACTCTGTGTTTGTTTATTTTAATTTTAATTAGAGGAAATAAATATGGAAATAATAAGGCTTTGTTCGTTTGTATGTATGTGTGTGTGTGTGGATTGCAGTGGGGAAAAAAGTAGAAAAAAAATGATTTTTGAATATTGAGCAAGATAAAGAATTTCCTTTGTTGTAGAAAAGGCGTAAATATAATTAAAAAATGAAAAGCGTAAAATTGACTCAGGCCAGTGTTGGCAGTGAAATGAGCACACATGCATTCGCACCTGCGGTATTTGGTAGCTGCGTGTGAAATTTTCTCTTCTTCTTACGCATTTAAGAGCGAAGTCATCCACAATAGCGCGCTTGTCGTTTCTACTTTTTAGCTGTTCGGCACCAATTGAGGACACCAAGGGAAACCTGTTGCTTTTCTACCTGATCCTTTCACCGAAGTGAAGATCGCGCTGTACCTCTCCTCCCACTGACGGAAAGAACAAACCAGGAGTGTTGTCGAACCAGCGTGAATAAGTGAATGACGCCTCACATTACGGTACGCGATGTGAGGCGTCATTCACTTATTCACGCTGGTTCGACAACACTCCTGGTTTCTCATACTTTTGCTCGTAAATTCAAACTACTGACTCATCAGACGATTCTGCATGGAGAGACGGCAAAGAAATTTAGACCCCTATCATGAGTTGCATTTGATCTTCGACTGTGACCGAAAGAGCTGGTCGTACGAATTTTCATTTGGTATAATGATCCTCATTCGATGGATTTCGATGAATTTAAATAAACTGTACTGTTCACAATGATACTTTTCTGTCAGCTGTGATTAAATATAATATATAGACAGCGCGGCAGTTGCGATAGCCGAGTCAGTAGCATAGCCAGGGTTTGGATCCTGGTCCGAGCGAAGGAAAATGAGTTTTAATTAAATAAAAAGTTCATTTCTCCAACTGCGGAGGCCCCCTCGCCAGGGAATGTCAAGCCCTCCGAGTGTATTTCTGAATTTCAAACCAAAGCTCCTCATAAACACCCAACACCCCTTCCTAGATGGTTTAAAATAAGCTACAGGTACCTCCAATTGTTTGAAAAACGTCTGACCATTGGCTAATACGCCTCAAACCAAAAGACCGTTGATCCTTTGAAGGTTCAATTGAGCCTTAATATCTAATTCTAACGACTTCTACCTTAGACTAGACCTAGAACTTTGAAATGCGAAGCTCCGAGATATCCAAGACGAATTCTAGTTAAGGCCAGATAGAAACAGAGGAGGTATTCTACCTACCCACCTCCCTGCCTTCCTTCTATATGGGTCACGTCACCGCTACTGATGACCATTCTGCTTGCCTGGAATGCCAATAAGATATGGCTCATCATCAGCCTATGACCGTGTAAGGAAGAAATGGCTGTTGTCTTTGCTATCGCCGCATGTCACTATTGCATTCTAACTCACCTTGAATCTGCATCCAGTTCTTTCGGAAATTTCAATAAAGTTCGTGTTTAGCAACTTTTCTAAATTCTGTACTTGATCGCTAGCGACTTTTGTGCATCCAGTATTGGCTCTCTAGCAAAATGCTAAGCCCTTTTCATAATCTCAACAGCTATTTCGTTGCCCATAGTCTCTTTTTCACCTGGAACCCAGGTTATATGCAGTCCTTTACCCTCGACTGCTTTGTCTAATGCTGGGGAATAGGCTTCATGCGTTAACCAGCATATTTTTACATGTTTATAGGGCAAAAAGTCTGACTCTTTTCTCCATATTTAATAGCCACATCTGTATGCTGTGTAATGTTCATCCCAGGTACTAAATGGGATCTTTGATAGACAGTTTCACTCTGCCTTAGGGATTTGCACGCAGGGAATTTTGCTCTCCTTACGAACAATTCCGCATCCGTTTTGCCAGCTTTCAACGCTGAGTTGGCTGATGTTGTCCATCGATGTACGATCCTTAGAGGTATTTTCATTACTTTACTGATGGTTTCTAGGGATTTCCCCATAACAACTATAGCCATGATGTCCGCATGGGCAAGTGAAAATGTTGATAATATAAAAATATAAGAAACAACTAAAAAAGGGGAAATATGAACAGTACGAAAATGTGATCCGACGATTCTTCAGCTGAGATGGAAAGATTGCTGGAATCAAATAGAAAATGAGTACATTTGAGAGTTTCTTCAAATCTAATGGAAATATATATGAGCAGCTACAGCATTTCGATCTTCAATATTCGATAACCAGCTCATAATAATGATCTCAGTCTCTTTTCGACTGAGGACTTTGTCATACCTTTTCAAAATTATATCTGCAACCGATGGGGAGTGACAATGAGAATGAGAGTCGAAACGCGAGTGCACTAACTATTTGTTTGATGCCAGAAATTATCTCGTATTGATCTCGTTCATTGAAAGACCAACTCACTTCGCTTCCATATCAAATTAGGAGAGAGCAATACTAACGGTGCGCTTGTTGTGGACAATAATGTCAATATCATCGACCTACAACAAACCGGCCTACGCTCTTGTAGTACATTATAGCTTTTATATTTAGCTTTCAGCTCGTATTCCCTGGTCGAGAAGGCAAGATTGAATTGAAGATTGAAGGTGGTACATGAAAAAACGTCAACCTAGAGGCACCCTGTTGAGTATTGAACGTCTCGGAGGGGTCCTGACTGATTCTAACAAAGCTTTTGGTACTACTTAGTGTCAGTTTGCACGGCCGTATAAGTTTAGCGGTGTGACAATGCCAGCCATAGTGGCGTAGAGACGGCTACTTTTCGTGCGATCGAAGGTCGCTTTAATTTCAACGAACACGTGATGCCGGTCGATGCTTTTTTCAAGGTTCTTTTCCACTATTTAGCGTATGGTGAATAACTGCACAGTGGTGGATATATACAAGTAAAGGTATGCAGCAAAGCTGATAAAGTCCTATCGGTACGTTCAGCCTTGTATATATAAACACAAACTACGCTATGCGGTTTCTCTTCTTAGGAATTCGGTAGTGCACGCCCTTCGACTAGATTCTACACAGAAACTGATATATGCACTTTTTTTTAGTTCTTCGTCGCCATATTAGAATAATTCAGCTAGTAGACCATGAACTTCGACCGTTTCGATGATCTTCGGGCGTTAGAAATTTCGGCTGCGATATCTCCTTGGAGAGGTATTCCTACCATAAAGTCACTTTACCCTCGGTATTGACTCTTTGGTGTGATCAACGTTCCAATATCCTTCTAAAAGTTTTAACTTTCATTAAAATTCTGCAAACGGGAGAGGTGTGGCTGCCATAAACTCACGCTACACGCTCGGTAGCTGTCACCAACGACTCGACTCTTTGATGGGAACTTGGGAATAGGCTTTCCTGGGTATCCCACATGGTTTTCTCTCAGCCTCAATGGTGAACGTTGCCTGTGTGCTTGGAGAAAATTCTCAATAACTTTCCTCAATCTTTAAAATATATGTATATTTTTTCGGTTTTCCTTTCAACAATAGAAAAACATAATAAAAAAGAGCGAAATTTTAAAATTGACAAAAAATTGACAGCAAAGTCAACAAGGGTCATTCTGCAGAGTGGTGAAGACTGCTAAAACAGGCACTAAGTGGTTGCAGTTCGTGCATTATAAGTGCGCTCTAAGCATGGGAATGTAATTCGATATGCAAACGAATGCACTTGCAACAGTTGCAGCCAACACATGTGGCAAGGCATACCGCTAGCTTAAAATATAAATACATTTTTTCATTATTTTTCCATAGTCTTTTTCGATATTATATTACAAAAAAAGAGCAATACTTCTTCAGTAGAAGATGCGCTGAGCGCCTTTATGATTTGCGTTTTCCGGGAATTGACTTATGTACACGTATGTATGTATGTGCGAGTATGGGAAACGCTAAAATGCCTATACTTTTAAGTGGTGCTGCATTTCTTCCCAATCACATTGAGTAGCATTTATGTAGAATTGCCGTATATTTTTGTAATATTTTGCAGAATAATATTTAGGTTAAGTACCATTGCGAAACTTACAAGCCTACAGATTTTGTAAGTGAGTAGATTTTGACGTCCATGTGCCACAAAAGCAGACGGTAGAAGAAACCGAGTTATGTCTTGGATACGCTGGAAAGTTAATGTAGGAGGAAATGTAAGAAAGAGTGGAGCGATTAACTAGAGAATACTCTTACGATGTATAGACTCCAGTGGAGGCGTAAACCTGAGGCGGTTATGGCCTAAACAGAGATGAAATAAATAATGATAGTGATGATATTTTTCTGGTTCTGAGTGTTCTCAACTTAGAAAGCGCAGCGGCAACACTGCTTACTGGTTCTGATGCAAACATTTTCCTTTTTCACCTTCCAATAATTAAAACAAAATTTTTGTATAAAAGGACGGTGACTATATTCTATATATGAAAATTTACCGATTTTTCTTCCTCTTCTTTTTTCTTTCCAGGTCCCTTATCCAGCAAAGATTTCACGCTCGACGGCTTAAATGGTTTTGGTAGTAAGAAGAAGAAGAAGAAGCGACGTCATAGTCGTACAATTTTTACATCTTATCAATTGGAAAAACTTGAAGAGGCCTTCAAAGAAGCACACTATCCAGATGTGTATGCAAGAGAGATGCTGTCGTTGAAAACCGAGTTACCTGAAGATCGCATACAGGTGAGTGAAGATAAATATTTAATTATAATATTTTATAATTTTGATTTTAGCAATGTGAATGTGTGTGAAATGACTGCTCTCTAAAAATAATTCAGAAGTGGAATACTTTTTAGCACTTTTCTCTCTTTGTTCTGGGATATTTTTTCTAGAAGACTCGACGTTTTCCATTAGCTACTCATTCTCACTACAGGATTATGTTAATGGCCTTGTAGATTTATGTCTGAATGCAATATCTACGAAGGTAGGTAATAAGCGGTATTCTTTTTTGTCTTATTTTTTTTTTTGATGACGAACACAGTGTTAGTCACCTCGCGCATAATCGCCCAGCCAAGCCTGAAGGGGAATTGAAAAATCCAATAGAACAGTGATAATCCGGACTGCTCTGCACCCGTGACGATTTGCCTCTTCTTCTAAACAACTACAGATTTACTTATATAATTGGCGTTTTTTAACCACTGAAGCGATTTCTCGGCCTAGATTCTCCTCCAATTTGTGATTTTGCTTCTTGATGTTTTTGCCAAAAAAAAAGGGAGGGATCTACAATTTATTCAAGGCCGCCCACTAACGGCTGATGGTTTTTTTACGAGAAGCCTTTACTTCATGTCCGAAATACACTCGGAGGGCTGGACATTTCCTGCTGACAGATTTATTCAACAGCTGCTAAAATTTACATAGAAAAAAGAGAAGGAAATTAATTATTTTTAAAGCTCTCAGCACGTACTTTTTATTGCTAGTTTTCAACCAAAATTTTAAACTAAAAACTTAAATTTTAGCTACTGCGCCCTAGAATGTAACTCAAAGTAGTAAAAAAAACTAAAAAAAGTTAAAAATAAACCTTTATGAAACTAATACTTGGCTACAATACTCTAATGGGGGGTCTCTAATATACTTCATGGATTCACTTATACTAATAACAGCTAAATAAATCGATTTTTCAATTGATTTGAGACCTTGGCTTGGCTGGAATACGAATGTAAACTTTTTAAAGGTGAAGGTTATTTTTTCTTTAGACATGAATATGGTTAAAAATTTAGGTCTTTTATAAAGACGAGAATACGCCATTATGTTTTAAAAATGTCGGGTATGTGAACGCCGCGGATGGCTCGAATAAAATACAGCCGTGAGACTCAATTCAACCACTTTTTGCAGCGAATATTTTGTTCTAAGGTGTCAATCGTCTCGCGCTACGTGGGCGCCCGACAACACATAATCCAAAAAAAAAATTGTCCAGCGATGTTAAATCGCACGATCTTGGTGGTCGCGCCATAGACTACAGACGCAAAAAAGAGCGCTCACCAAAAATTTCCTTCTATAAATTGCTTCTTTCATTGGCTATATGCCATGCAGCGCCGTCTTGTTGAAACAAAAAGTTGTCCACATCAATATCCTTCCATTCAGGTACGAAAAAGTTTTAATCGAGGTTCTATAGCGTTCCCCATTGACTGTAACATAATGGCCAGCTTGAGATTTGAAGAAATAAGGTCCAATGAAACGCTTTGTTCATAGAGCACACCAAACAAAAAATATAGTAGAAACAGGAGGTAAGGTAGATAAGTTCTTCGAATGCAGGAATTCTAAATGAATATTCTTGCCTTGCCTGACAGAATGTGTTTGCTGGGAGTAATCAATTTCGCTCTTCCATTTATATATTTATATCTAATGCTTTTACTTTATTTTTTATTTTCGTCTACAAACCATCTTCGTGCAAAAATAGCTTCTCTAAAAAGAAAATATGTTATAAGGATAAGGTAATTTAATACCTTGAGCGTTAAAAAAAAGAACGTGTAGACTAATTTGCTTTGAGAACAATGAGTGCTTATTTATAAGTTCCAAATTTTCAAGTGTGAATTGAATTCCTTGCGGTCGCGCATCCCATTGTTTGTCATATAATTTCTTTAATTGCTTAATTTTTATTTATTTATTTTAACCTCCCTTTTTTCTCTGATGCATATCTGACATTCAACACTTCGCCACTCGTAGCTCTTTTCCATTTATTTTTAATTTTTTTTTTTAATTATATTTTTTTACTTATTCCTGTACCTGTCATTTGTCGTTTACGCTTGGTTTTGAAGCTTTGCTTGTTTGGATTTTTCATTACTGATCTTTCACACCTCTTTCTGTTTTGTATATCCTGCGGCCACTGCAGAAATGCATTATGAACTTTGTTTTTGTTTAGAGAGGCCGTCTGCAAGTTATCGACTGCCTCCTTATTATATTCTCATTTACACTCCCCCAGTTTAGTCGTGTATTAAGATTTGTTGTGATTTAACGTTCCTGCTTCGGTACCTGCGGTCGGGTAAATAATAGTGTGTGGCCTGTACAAAATTTCCGATAGGAAAATATGATTTTTTAATAATTATGGTGAAGTTTTAGTAGAAAAATTAACTACATTATTTTTAACGTTTAAAGAAAATGGAAAAATTAAAAAAAAATATAATTATAAAATATGAGTTAATTTAGAAACCGCTGTGTGAATAAATCCTTTGATACTTCATATACAGCGTCCTCTGAAGTTTGCATCCTTTCACTGTTTTTTTTTAGTAAAAGTGCCATATTTTGTATTCTTTACACGGTAATATAAGTACCCCGCTATCAACCCACGGGCACTACCACACGTTGTTTAATTTAACTTGTGGACAAAGGCCAAATTTCTAGGAGCTTTTTTTTTTAAACAAGAGACTAAACTGAAGAGATAACATAGTTCAAAAAGGTAGGAGAAGGTGTCCACTGCTCTTCTCTATAATGCAAAAGAGCACTAGGCAAGAATTCCAGAATTTGCTGCTGGATCTAAGTACGTATCAGTGGTAAGATCAAAGTTACTTTACGAAGTTATTGCGTGGTGACCAACTATAAAGAAAGCTCGGAATGCTAAGTGTATAGGTTCGATTCAAAGATGTGCATTAATGTGTTTCAGTGCTGCACTGAGGAGCACACCGAGCCTCATTTGCAATGCAATACTCAATATCTTGCTACTGGACATCAATCAGCAAGGAAAGCTGCACCTCGCTTAAGAGAGTCAAATCATTGGATCACTTAGCTAATGGTATGCTCCAAAATAGTGGATAGATATCTGTAACCTCTGAAGCGGTTATCAGCTGAGCTTCTCCTCCCATTTGTGGTATGCTTCCTGATGTTTTTCCAACAAGTGGTGGAATATACAGATTATTCTGAACCGCCTCCGAACGGCTCTTTTATGAGAAGCTGTGATATTTATGTCAGAACTACACTCGGAGGGCTTGTCATTCTCTGCCGAGAGGCGACCGCAATTACAAAAATTAATTTTCTATAAATTTTAATGTTGTTGACCGCATCAGGACTCGAACCCTGACCTTCAAAATGACAGCAATGATAAATACTCAGCCATTTGGTCGCTATATAATTGGCGCTTTGTAACCGCTGTAGAGATTTTCAGCCGAGCTCCTCCTCACATTTTTGGTTTTGCGTCTTGATGTCTTTTCCAATAAATAGAAGGACCTACAATTTATACTAAGCGGCCTCCGAACGGCTGACGGTTTTTTAAGAGGAGCTTTAATTTATTTCATGTCAGAAATTGACTCGGAAGGGTTGACACCCCCTGCCAAGAGGCTTAATTTTATATTTAAATTAATTTTCTATAAGTTTTTGGATGTTGGATTTGGTTCAATTATATATACTTCAGAGCACGCATTCCCAACCGTGAAGAATGGAAAGGATAATTACCAAACTCCCGGTGGCAACCTAGAAATATACACGGAGGGATCAAAGCTTGAATTGGCGTTGGTGTATGCTCAAGGAACCCTCCTACGGTGCTCTCTTTCAGGTTACATCTTCATAATGAAAGAGACTTATGCGAAGATATCTGCTTTATCGGAGACCTCTTTAAAGATAAGCATATCTCCGTTTTCCGTGACAGACAGGCAGCACTGAGCTCGCTAAATTCCAATTTGGTGCTGGACTGTCGCCGATATTTACAGGAGATAGCTGAAGATAAATACATCAATCACCAGGGATGGAAGAGACTGTCTCTCACGTGGATCCCTGGTCATAGGAATATTAATGGAAGTTGTAAAACGAACGAACTTGTTAGGCAAGCAGCAATCAAGCAGATTCTGCTCTTGATAAAGAAGGCATTGTTAAGCCTTTTACCACTTCTAAGCTGCTTCTCAAGGAGTTTACATATGTACATGCCGCAAAATGGTGGTATGAAACTACAACCTGCCACAACCCCAAGAAAGTCTGGCCAAAATGTGTTAAGAACAGAACACTAGTTATATGCGCCTCATACAGAGAATACATATCCAAATTAATAGGAGTTCTGACAGACCACTATCTGATAGGACGCTATGCGAATAAACTCGGAGCTTCCTATAAGAGATACTACAGCAGCTGCAAGAATGCAATGAAGAGGAGGATAAAACTATCACACAACTTTTTTATGCACTGCTATTATGGGCAGTATTTGATCTCGGAACTTTTGTATTGTATGGTCTGTCGAGGGCCTGAACCTAAGGAGGTGCTTTAGAGAATCAAAATGGCTGGATAATGAAGCCCAATATTAATTTTTTTTGGGAGCATAAGGGAGATTAATCGTTGCGTTAATTCAGTAGTCACCACAACCTAACTAAACCTAACCTAAAATAAAGAAGATAGAGAGCACGTCTGTTATACTTTCCACAAGCTCGTTGCCATTATATTTTTTAAATTTCTTGACAAAATTCATATTCGACTTTCGAGTGGCAAAAATCGAATTTGCACTCGTCAAGGGTGTGCACGGTAATTAAGGCCATGACATGGCGTGTGAATGCTAATGCACACATATCGACATACATACTTGTATATGCCAAACAATGAGCAACGCTTAAGGCGCGGATACTTACGTTCGTTAGCATGTATATATGTATGTATATAAACCATTACGCTCATGTGTCGATATGCATAAAATTACGCCCATATTTAATAGGCAATTTTACAGCCATTGAAGAGGTTCGGTTCGTCGCGTATAAAGCCGCAGCCACTTTTAA